TGTAGGGGTTGGGGAACGAAGGAAGGGAGGGGTGGGTGGGTGGGGAAGGGAGGGAGGGAGGAAGGGAGGAGGGAGGGGAAGGGGGAGGGGGGGAAGGGGGCTGGGGGAGGGGGGGGGGGGGAAGGAGGGGAGGGGTGCTGTAAATTGGAAGGGGGTGGGAAGGGAGGGAGGGGAGGATGGGGGAAGGGGGGGTGCTGTAAATTGGAAGGGGGTAGGGAGAGCTGAGGAAGGGAGAGGGAGACCAAGGGAAGGGGGAAGGGAGAAGGGGGAGGGGGTGCTGTAAATTGGAAGAAGGGAGGAACTGGGGGATGAGGAAGGAGGGAGGGGGGGGGGGGAAGTGTCTGTGACCTGGAACGGGGAAGGGTGGGGGGGGGGAGCTGGGGAGAAGGGGGGTACAGTGAGTTGGAAGGGGGAGGAGGGAGGGAGGGAGGGAGGGAGGGGAGGGAGGGAGGGAGGGAGGGAGGGGAGGGGGGAGGGAGGGAGGGAGGGGGGAGATTGTGTAGTCACGCGAGAATGTGTGCCAATGCCTCGCCAATGAATAATCAGAAGTGTATTTATTAATCATCGTTGAGAAATGGCTACGAGAAGAAACTACACGATTGACTTCTCGGTACGAAATCTGGGTCTGTCTGCCTCTCTCTCTTCTCTCTCCTCTCTCTCTCTCTCTCTCTCTCTCTCTCTCTCTCTCTCTCTCTCTCTCTCTCTCTCCTCTCTCTCTCTCTCTCTCTACCCCTCCCTACCCTTTTCCTCCCTACCCTTGGTCCGTACCCTTACCCTCTCCCTCCCTCTACACACCTTCCCTCTCCCTCCTCTCCCCTCCCCCTCCCCTCCCCCTTCTACACACCTTCCTCCCTCCTACTGCCCTCTCCCTCTCTCCTCCCCCTACCCTCTCCCTCCCCTGCTCACGCCTCACTCTCCCTGTTCAAACTCTCACCCTCCCTTCGCCACGCCTCACCTCCTCCCCTACCACCCCGCCCCCCACCCCCATCTACCCGGCTTGACATCTTGCTCTGCCCACCTTGAAGTCCCCGTGTTGTCAGAGACTTCACTTTAGCCTCAAGGATCCTTCCAGTGGGGGGGAATCCCCTCGGGCACTTCGCATAATGTCAACAAACGCAAAAAACGCACATACGAGCGCGCATGCAGACATACACACACGTGCGGGCACACACACCCACACGTAAACACGCGCGCGCAGCTTAATATCCTGGTACGAAGTATTCCTTTTTTTCCGCCTTCTTTTTGTCTCTCTTTTCTTCTCTCGTCTTGTTGTTCTATCCTTGTTCTTCGTTTCTCTCTTTAAATTCATACAAAGCGCCTATCTATTTTCCTCTTCTTCCACCAATCTTTCTGTCTTCTCCTTTGTCCACCATTCGTCGGCCGACTAACAAACGTTTTTTCCTCTTTTTTTTTTTTTTTTTTTACTTAAATCCAAGTCCGATTTCCACGAACGCCCCCAAAAAAAAAAAAAAAAAAGGAAAGGAATTCTCTGCGTGTCTTTTACGTAAAAAAAACAATGGCGTTTGGAAAAATAGTTTGGTGGCGACAGAGTGTGTGTGGGGAGAGGAGGAGGGGTGGCGTGGGGCGGTGGCGGCGGTGGCGGTGGCGGTGGCGGCGTCTTCAAGGATATTACGTAATCGAAAGCACACAGCGACGCATTTCTTGAGGACAAATTTCTCCCGTCTGTATGAGTGCGTTTCATGTATGTCTGTGTGTCGGTTTTTTTTTCTCTTTTTTTTTGGGGGGGTTTTTTTGAGTGTGTTTGTATATGTTTTGTGTGTCGGTTTTGTCTTCTTTTTGGGGGGGTTTTTGAGTGTGTTGTGTGATTTTGCACATGTACAGATCTTTTGGTAAGGGTGTTGGGTGTGTGTGTGTGTGTGTGTGTGTGTGTGTGTGTGTGTGTGTGTGTGTGTGTGTGTGTGTGTGTGTGTGTGGTGTGTGTGTGTGTGTGTGTGTGGTGCCTGCTTTTGTTTTCTCTTTCTCTTTCTCACTCTTTCACTCTTACCCTCACTCACACTGACTCACTCATTCCTACTTTCACTCACTCTCCCCCTCCCCTTCCTCCCTCCAACTACACTCCAGTTACACAAGTATCGCAATCAAACACAAATTCAAAAAAAAAAAGTGAATTATAGCCCCCAGACCTCCGGAAATACTGAACAAGCCTTTGCAAGCACACCATTCTATGCCTTGAGTAAGACAGCGTAGAGTTATTTCCCTGCAGGAGGTCTGGCCAAGGCGACTCAGCGCGTGGGCAGGCTTATATACCTTACGACGTGTTAGCGGTTTTTTCCCGCTCTTTTTTGCGCTGAATGTTAGCGGTTTTGTTGTGTCTTTTTTTCTCTCTCTCTCTCTCTTTTGCTGTTGTTTCGTACCAATGTGGTGAATGACTAAAGGGAGAAATAGAAGTGTTGTTTATATTTGGGGAATAAACGACAAGGATTGTTATTTTTTGGATAATAATGTGATTTGAAATGCGTAACGTCGCTAGTCTTCAAACCGAGCGCCATCTCACGAGAAAAACACAAACAGAAAAGCATGAATAAATAGATATTTCTTTTACCTAACACCATGCACAGATTCATACAAGATGTTCATTTTACAACCTATTAAAATGTCACGAGTTCTGCCTCATGAAACTTGTGACATTACTAATAAGGTTAGACTTTGTGATAAAATATAGCAATTACTTTAAAGGCGTACAGATATTTGTAATATTATTCACTCTAACGGACTGTCTATTTGTAAAAACTTGAATCACATTTTTTTTTTCTTTCTTTCCTTTCTTACTCAATTCTTAAATCCGTCTGGCAGACTCAGTGCCAGTCGATAAATCACCGCTTTTGTATTTCTTAATTTATTTATTTTTTTTCTCTCTCTCTCAATTCTTTTCTGATGATAAATCACCCACCAATTCTATGCTTCCTCCTTACTAATTTTCTTTATTCTTTTATTTTAATTCTTATTTATTTGTCTATCTATCTCTTTTATTATTCTTCTTATTTATTTGTCAATCTATCTATCTATTTGTTTAGTTTTTCTAGTATTTGTCTATCTATGTTTTAAAATGAGACCATGGTGCATTTCCCGTCAAGGTCTCTTAGCTTCTTGCCCCCCTCCCCCCCTCCCCCTCCCCGATACCCACCCAGCCCCTTTTCTGGCTCTGTCCGGAAACCCTCCCTTTCTTTCCCTCCTCTCGCATTATCTAGAACCCTCTCTCCTCCTTCTCCCTCTCTCCCTCTTCTCCCCACTCCCTCTCGCTCTCCTGGCACTATCTAGACACCCTCTCCCCCACTCTTCTGGCACTGATCTTGGCCTCCCTCCTTCTCCCTCTCCCCTTCCTTCTGGCACTATCTAGGCACCCAATCCTTCCTTCTTCTGCTCTTCCTCTTCCTCTTCCTCCTCCTAATATTCCTCTTCCTTTTTCTGTTCTTTCACCTTTTCCTCCTCCTCCTTCTCCATCCCCCTATTCCTCTCCTCCCTCCTCCTCTTCCTCCTCCTCATTCCCATCCCTATTCCTCTCCTTTTCGCTCCTTTCCTTCTCTCCTCCTTTCCTTCCATCTCCCTTTCCTTCCTTGCCCCCCCCCCTCCTGGTACTCTCTCGAACCTTCCTATTGGCTGAATTTGGCATTCTGTCTGGGTTGGTCATCGTGGGGGGGGGGGCGAGGAGAAGGAGGAGGAGGAGGTGGTGGAGAGGAACCAGCCAAGTGGGGGAGGACGTGGAGGTGGAGGGAGGTGGTGGAGAGGGAGCAGCCAAGGGGGAGGGGGAGGAGGTGGAGGTGGAGGGAGTGGTGGAGAGGAACAGCCAAGTGGGGGAGGAGGTGGAGGTGGAGGGGGAGGTGGAGGTGGAGGTGGTGGAGAGGTGGGGAGGAGACAAGCAAGCAAAGTGGGAGGGGGGTGAAGTGTGTGTGTTGCGTTGAGGGGGGGGGGGTACCGGTCCGTCTGTGAGAGGGGTGTGGCGAGAGTGGGTGTAGGTGTGCATGAATGTATCCTGCATACATACACGCATAAAAATATACATACGCTCACGTAATACCTAAAATACACATACTCTCATGCACACACACACACACACACACGCACTCGTGCACTTCTCTCTCTCTTCTCTCTCTCTCTCTCTCTCTATCTCTCTCTCCGCTCAGACTAACTAACGTCTATAAAGAGATAACGATATATAAATAGATTAAACAGACAGATAAGCCCTTTTAAAAAATTCTCCAACAAAAGAGAGCACCGCTTGTTCGAGCATAGTAACTAGCACTAGACTAACTAGCACTAGACTACTACCTACGCTAACTTAGATATCTAGCGTCGATACAAGTGGTTTCCACCTTGTCATTTCTAGGCCGAGATGTGTAAATAAAAAGGCTTCGTTTTAAAGACAACCTGATAAGAAAAAATTGAGGAAATGTAGAAATGAATAAAGTAAAAATGAAGAAATGTAGAAATGAATAAAGTAAAAATGAAGAAATGTAGAAATGAATAAAGTAAAAATGAAGAAATGAATAAAGTAAAATGAAGAGAAATAATAAAGTAAAAATGAAAAATGTAGAAATGAATAAAGTAAAAAAATGAATATAGGAATATCGGGTGGATGGATATTCAGAATGTGGAGTAAATGTCTATTGAAAGAATGGGGAAGGAACACACGCCTGCGGGAGGTTAAAAACGCTTAATGAATCGCTGGAGATAAATATAAAATGGAATCAAAACACAAGCGTAGAGGAGAAACGATGAAGAAATGAGAAAGAGAAATAAAAATAAACCCAGGAAGGAAGGAAGAAAGAGAGAAGGAAAGATAGAATGCGTTAAAATGAGAAAGACAGAGAAAAATGAGAGAAAGCGTTAAAAGGAGAAAAAAATGAATCAAGGAAGGAAGGAAGAAACAGAGAAAGACAAAATGCGCGAAAAGGAGAAAGAAAGAGAGAGAGAAAGAACACGCGAAAAGGAGAAAGAGAGAGAGAGAGAAAGCAAGCAAGTTCACTTCTCGGTCTACTCACCTTGGACTCGGTCTCGTCGACGCACAGGCACGCGGCCCGGCGGATGAAACCCTCCTCGTCAACCAGCCTGTGTCGTGGACTCGCGTTCTTGGATTTGGTGTCCGTCCAGTCGGTGTCAGAGGCGACGGTGTTGTTGTTCGAGTCGCCCTTGTCCTTCTCCTGCTGCAGGAAGAGGGCGGAGGGATCGCCCGTCGCCACGTTCAGGTTAACGCTGCTGCTGTTGTTGTTGTCGTCGCAGCTGATGTCGGAGAGGGCCACGTCGTAGCCGCTGCCGCCTTCGTCGCTGCTGACGCTGTCGCTGCAGCACCGGGTGGTGGTGGCGCTGGCGAAGTTGGCGTCGCTGTAGTATCGCCACAGGTCGCCGGCGTCCCCTGCCCAGGCGCTGCCGGCGAGGGCGGGGGCGGGCTGGAGCGCCTTGGGGTCGCCCGAGACGTGGAGGCTGCCGAGGGAGAGACTCGACCAGGTGCTGGGGGAAGCCATCTGTATAGCTTTGCACTGCATTTCGAGAGAAAGGATTTGGGATTTGTACTAAAGCTCGTAAGGTGCTATGGAGTCTGTGTCAAGTCTTTGTTTTACAATGCAGACTCCATTTGTTAGTCACTTCGAACATGGGTAGAGTTTAAAAAAGAGTCAGGTTTTCGGAGGGTTTTCACTTGAGACGACTGCCGTTCACCGCAGCCGTATCTCAGGTTCTCCGCTGAGTGTTCACTGGGACTCGCAAAAGAATTCAAAGTCACTGGAGCTTTCGAAAACGAACGGTGGAATCAGAACTTCAGAGCTACTTCTGTTCGCCACGTGAGCTAGAGGTAAACACAGCCAGACACACTTGCTGCCACTTATACTATATCCACCGTCGGCGGGCTGCCCCTCCCCTCTCCCTCCCCCTCCCCCACTCCCCCATCGCCCTCCTCCGCACCGCAGGCTCCGCCCCAATTCGCTCATGACGTCATGGTCGACACACGCGGCTCCTACTATCTTGCGGGGCGAGTTCGTCGTCTGAATGTATGAAAGTACCTGTCTCGGAAAATGATATCGGGTACGCTCGTATCCTAGGCGCTTTGTTCTTGATCTTTTAAACGAAATGTTCTTAGCGTAGTTCAAACAGGCATCGTAAAACAGTTCAATAAAAGCATTAATCATTATAGAGCTCTACCCTAGTAACGGTTAAAAACGAACTGTTACTGGCTTGATAAAATAAAGATAATAGTGCCGTAGCCCTTTCTTTTATCTTCCCACGCACATACGCTCTCAAGTTGGGAGACTGACACTTCCGTTCTCAAGAATGACACTGACAATTTCCTTTCTTATTAGAATAATTTGAAAACTGATACTTTATAAGTAATATGGTTCTAGCTCAGTTGAGAAGGAAATCCGATGAATCATACGTTACCCTGCGGTCTCTCCCCCCTCCCCCTACTGGCTCCCTAAGCCCCGCCCCCTCCTTACCCTTTCCCATGCCCCACCTTTCCTCGTCTCAAAATACCGCCCACTTTTGTTGTTGTTGTTTTTTTGAATGTCCGTCTCTTGATCCGTGTTAGCAGGGTATTTGAAGGTCCTCTACTCTCTCTCTTTGTATACATATTCATGCGTGTGTGTGTGTGGGGGGGGGGGGTTAGAAATAAACATTGCACGAACTAGGTTTATTGAAATAATTGAGACAATAGTCGGAGTTCTCCTGGAATATAAATATATACAAGTATATATAATACATATATATATATTATATACATACATACATACATATATATATATATATATATAATATATATATATTATATATATATATATATATGTATCACACTCTCTCTCTCTCTCTCTCTCTCTCTCTCTCTCTCTCTCTCTCTCTCTCCTCTATATATATATATATATATATAATATATAATATATAATATATATATATATATATATAATGTAATATTGTGTGTGTGTGTGTGTTGTATGTGTGTGTGTGGTGTATGTGTGTGTTGTCTGTATGTATGTATGCAAGTATGTATATGTAGGTAATGCATGTATTATATACATACATTATTATTGGTCTATTTGCTCTCCTCATAATGTTTCTGTTCGACTCTGTTTTGTGTATGTATGTATCTGTTGATAATTAATCTGTCTCTGTCTTTGATCTCTCAATCTATCTCTCCTCTCATCTCTCGTCTTCTCTCTCTCTCTCTCCTCTCTTCTCCTCTCTCTCTCTCTCTCTCTCTCTCCTCTCTCTCTCTCTCTCTTCTCTCTCTCTCTCTCCTCTCTCTCTCTCTCTCTCTCCTCTCTCTCTCTCTCTCTTCCCTCCCTCCCTACCCCATCCTTCCATCCCTTCTACTCTTTCTCTCCTTCTATTTATCATTTTCCCCTTCCTCCTCATTTCCATTCTGGCAGTGGTGGGCAGAGGTCAGCTGATGCCCAGGACCAACTCCTTGCTTGTATGCCCCGAAGACTCAAGTATAAGGCCTTGTACTGAGAGATATCAGGAAAAAAAAGGGAAATATTTCGAATACGTAAACACAGATAAAAACATGAAATAAATAACTTTATTCGCGCTAGATATAGATCTTAAAATCACTCCGTATTTCCCTCTCTGATTGGATGACCCCCCCCCTCCCAGTCCATCCCCACCCACCCTCTATTTTGCCTACCCTATGCCACCTTTCCTTCGCCCCTCCCTCTTCCCTTCCTCCCTCCCCCCTCCCACCGCCTCTGCACAACCCTACACCCTGACTTCCCCTCCCCCTTCCCTTCCCTCCCCTCCCCTTCTGCACACCCCCTACACCTGCGCCCCCCTCCCACCGCCTCTGCACCCCCTACACCCTGCTCCCTCCCCTTCCCTTCCCTCCCCCCCCCCCACCGCCTCTGCACGCCTACCCCTGACTTCCCCTCCCCCCTTCCCCTTCCCTCCTCCCACCGCCTCTTGCACGCCCCTACACCCTGCCTTCCCCTCCCCTTCCCTCCCCTTCCCCCCCTCCCCCTCCCACCGCCTCTGCACGCCCCTACACCCTGACTTCCCCCTCCCCTCCCCCCCTCCCACCGCCTCTGCACGCCCCTACACCCTGCCTTCCCCTCCCCTCCCTTCCCTTCCCTTCCCCCCTCCCCCTCCCCACCGCCTCCGCGCGCCCCTACACCCGCCTTCCCCTCCCCTTCCCTTCCCCCTCCCCCCCCTCCCCACCGCCTCCGCACCCCCTACACCCTGACTTCCCCCCCCTTCCTTCACCCCCCCCTCCCACCTACCCCTGCCTTCCGCCCTTGACTGGCTCCGCACGGCCCTGGCCTCTTCACGTACACCCTGCCTTCCGGCCTCTGCTCCCGGGGTTCCCTTTCCCTTCCCTTCCCTTCCCTTCCCTTCCCCACCCCTCCCCCTCCCCCTCCCCCCGCTGCGCGCCCCTACACCCTGCCTCACTCCCCGACGCCCGTTGAGAACCCGTGGGTGTTTTCCGTAGTGGTTGGCTGGTTTACGAGTTGCGAAGGTCCTCGGGTTTTTTCCAGAGTTTGGGATCGTCGATTCGGGTGTTGCTTTGCATTTCCTTTTGGGCTCAATGGCGTGTTCTGGTGTGTATGTATATATGGATATATATATATATATATATATATATATATATATATATATATATATATATATATATATATATATATATATATATAACATAAATATTTAAATATAATATTTATATGCATACATACATACATACATATATATATATATATATATATATATATATATATATATATATATATATATATATATATACATAGACATAGACACACACACAAAACAAACACGCGCGCGCGCATATATAAAGATATATGTACGCGTTTATATGTGCGCGTGTGTGAATAGATGGACATGTGTATGTGTATACGTACTTATGGGCTGTTTATTTTCGAATATATATGCGTGCATGTATTTACCCATTTCCTTTCCTTCCTACTTTTTAAGGACACAACCGCAGAGGCTTCCGTCGGGACAGGATTTTCCCAGCTGCAGATGGGCCGGTTCGGTGGCTGTGAAAGGCGACGCTCGATCCGCCGCGGCAATGGTGGGGGATAATTTGGTATTTTGTTGGTACGATCTTTATATATATATATATATATATATATATATAATATATATATATATATATATATATATTATATGTGTGTGTGTGTGTGTGTGTGTGTGTGTGTGTGTGTGTGTGTGTGTGTGTGTGTGGTGAGTGTATGTGTGTGATGTATGTATGTTTTTTAATTATTTATCATATTTTTCTTACAGCCTTGACTATAGCTTCAATTGCTAAAAGTTTGCTATCGTTTTCCATTTTCTTTCTTTTTAAATCCTACTTCTTTATATATATATATATATATATAATATATATATATATTATATATATATATATACACACACACACACACACACACACACATATATATATATATATATATATATATATATATATATATATATATATATATATATATATATATATATATATATATATATGAACCGAATCCATGTTGATAAATGTAGAAAAGGTATGAATGAGACTGGATATCTTCACAATACAAGAGATGTATTTGACCGGTTTCGATTACGTCTTCATCAGAAATACATACATGAGAGAAAATACATAGCATATATACACTACATGGGAGCTGGTAGATCACCTGACGACTGTGACCTTTCTATCTATCTATCTATCTATCTATGACTGTGATCTATCTATCTATCTCTCTATCTATCTATATCTATCTATCTATAATATTATCTATCTATCTATCTATATGCATATATATATTTACATTTTTTTTCTTTTGTTTACTCTCGTCTTTTTTTTCCTAGATCGTGAAGGTCACATTGTTTCTCGGGAATTTTTTGTGCCTTGGTAACTTTCCTTTACTTGTACCGCACAAGTATTAAGTTTTAAGTATCTTTAGGTAGTGCGTATGTACAAAAAAATCTGTGTAAGTATTGATTTTAACGTTTTTTTTGTAATTTTGATGTTATGGAAGCTTTATTTTTTTCTTTTTCTTTCTTTTTTTTTTTCCTTAATTTTCTTATGTAATTTCTTAGTTATTTTATTTTATTTCTTTATTTTCTTCTTCGTTTACTTATATAATTTCTTCGTTATTTATTTATTTCTTTATTTTTTTCTTCGTTTCTTATTTCTTTTCCTTCTTTACTTCTTCCACTTCATTTCCTTTTTCTTGTTCCTATTCTTTTTCGTTTTCCTTATTGTCATTATTACAATTATTTCTTCTTCTTCGATTTCTTCCTGTTCTTCACCTCCTTGGCTTTCCTCCTCTTCGTCTTTTACTTCCTCATCTCCTATTTCTTCTTCTTCTCCGTATCTTTCTCTCTTCACCCCACCCCCCCACCCCCGAGTCTTTTGTTCGTTTGTCTTGTAAGTCGTAGTAGTAAGCCGTGGTAGTTGTAACAGGTATTATTATTAGTAGTAAGCCATAGTACTTATAACAACATTCTAGTAGTAAGTTATCATTAGCAGTAGTACTTATAACAGTACTTGTAGTAGTAAGTCCAGACAGCAGTGTACTAGTTGTAGCCACAGTACTTATACCAGAAGTTGTAGTAGTTGCAATAGCAGTATCATTAGTAGTAGCCATAGTACTTATAACAGTAGTTGGATAGTAAGTCCCAGAACAAGCAGTATCATTAGTAGTAGCCATAGTACTCTAATGTAGTTGTAATAGCAGTATCATTAGTAGTAGCCAAGTACTTATAACAGTAGTGTAGTATCATTAGTTACGTCACAGTACTTATAACAGTAGTTGTAGTAGTAAGTCCCAGAACAGCAGTATAATTAGTAGTAGCCACAAGTACTTATAACAGTAGTTGTAGTAGTAAGTCCAGAAACAGCGTATCATTAGTAGTAGCCACAGTATATAAAGTAGTTGCAGTTAGTAAGGTTAATGGTTAGGTGAAATTACTGTGATCATGTCACTATAGAAAGTATAGTATTGGAAGGATAGAGATGGGGGATGGGGGTGTTGGCCACGTCAGAGGCTGTGTAGAAGTAGGAATGGTATTTTTAAGGTGTATGCAGGTAGGTAGAGGGGGGGGGGGGGGGGGAATGATGGGGTTAAGTTAGGGATAAACTGGGGGGGGGGGGGGGTAGTGATTGGGTTAGGTTTAGTGATAAAACTGGGGGTGGGGGGTGGTGATTGGGTTAAGGGGAGAGGGTTAGTTGGGATAAATGGGGGGGGGGGGGGGAGTGATGGGTTAAGTTAGGGATATGGGGGTAATTGAGTGGAATTGGGTAAGTTAGGGATAATCTGGGGGAAGGGGGGAGTGATTGGGTAATTAGGGATAAACTGGGGGGGGGGGGTGAGTGATTGGGTTAAGTTAAGGGATAAAACTGGGGGGGGTGAGTGAGTGATTGGGTTAAGTTGAGGGATAAACTGGGGGGGGGGGGGGGGGGAGGTGAGTGATTGGGTTTAAGTTAGGGGATAAAACTGGGGGGGGAGGGGGAGTGATTGGGTTAAGTTAGGGATAAACTGGGAGGGGGGGGAGGGGGGAGAGTGATTGGGTTAATTAGGGATAAACTGGGGGGGGGTGAGTCATTGGGTTAAGTTAGGGATAAACTAAGGGGGGGGGGGGTGAGTGATTGGGTTAAGTTGGGGATAAACTGGAGGGGGGGGGGATGAGTGATTGGGTTAAGTTAGGGATAAACTGGGGGGGGGGGGGGAGTGATTGGGTTAAGTTAGGGGATAAACTGGGGGTGGGGGGGGTGAGTGATTAGATCAAGGATATGTACATTTCTCAGGAAGGAGATTAGGTCTTCTAAGCAGAGAAATATGTGGATTCCACCAGGATAATCCGAGAGACTGGGAGATCGGCGCAGGGCAGATAGGTGAGGAAAAGCCGCAGTACCGGTTGTGGGTGAAACGTGGACAGGACAAACAAAAATGCGCGAGACTTAAACAAATGAGAACGTTACAGAAGGAACATACGGGTGGTTCAGATCGTGACTAGTGCGTAATAATTAAGGCCCTGGTTCAGATCGTGACAGGAGGTGCGAGCGTGTAATAATTAAGGCCCTATTCACGTGTATCCCCCTATCACGCTATTTTTTCCGTCGATTTTTCCGTCTGAATCTGAGGCTCGTTTAGTATCGTTTGCAAATGAGTCCCAGACGAAGGCGTATTACGTTTCTACTTGTTCTTTGCCTTCGTTTTCTTTCTTAATAATGGATGGAGAAGAAGGAAAAGAAAAGGAAGAGGAAGAGGAAGTATAAGAATAAGAAATAATATAATATAAGAGAAAGAAGTAGAAGTAGAAAGAAGAAGAAGAAGAAGAAGAAAGTAAAGAGAATAAAGAGGGAGGGGTGGGAGAAGAGGGTGAAGAGGAGAAGGGAAGAAGAAGAGGGAAGAATGGAGAAAGGAGGAAAGAAAGGAGAAGAAGGAAAAGAAAAGAAGAAGGAAAAAAAAAGAAAAGAAGAAGGAAAAGGAAAAAAGAACAAGAAGGAAAAGAAAAAGAACAACAAGAGAAGAGGAAAAGAAGAAAAAGAAGAGAGAGGGGAATGACAGAAGAGGAAATAAAGAGGAGAAAGAAAAAGAGAAAGAGATGTGATTATAAAGACTTGATATGTTCCCGTTTTCTAAATAATCATTCATTGTTGCTAACGTATAGACAAAAATTCTCAAAATAAAACATTATGCCAAACAGCCATAAAGTTTGAAT